TTTCTGTGTCAGGCTCTGTGTGTGGCCCTTGCTTGTTGGTGTTCCTGCCTTTTTGGGAGCAAAAAAATGGTAAGGGGCTTGTGCCAGGGGTTGTGCAGGGAGAACCTGGGCTGGAAGAGCTGCCTGCCTTCTCTCACTGCCCTCTAACCCAGCAAGGGGGACAGCTCTGCTGCTGGCCTCACACAAAACACGGCTTCTAGAGGGGAAAATCATTCAAATCCACACCTGACACTCAAAGGTTGGTGTCTAATCAGGCTGAAGCTCCTAGGACAGGTCAGTCAGGAGCACAGGTTAGTGGAGATTGCACTTGTAGATGTACTCCGGGTTCGCAGTGTGGAGTGCTTGTAATGAAAGGAGTTAAACTCACAGCAAGATCCTTGAGCTTTGCCATTTCTGACTCCAAGGGCAGCAGTTTGCCCAACCATCACCCTTTTCTCTGAAAAGATTCTTACACTGCTATAGGACACTAGAATGATTTGGTATCACTCTCTTCTCTCCCCAGTCCAAACTCCATTCCCTTTGCTGTCCTGCATGATTCCCTGCCTCAGTTTCCCCTTTATTACAGAATATTAGTGCTCAGTGGCATGCTTTGAAGCTTAAATCCAAACTCTGTTCCCTTTGCTGTCCTGCATGGGCACACTGATTCCCTGCCTCAGTTTCCCCTTTATTACAGAATATTAATGCTCAGTGGCATGCTTTGAAGCTTAATAAATTGGGGACAGATCTCATGGTCGTCCATCAAGCAAACTTCCTTTGGCATTGACCTTTAATGCTTATGAAAAGCTTCGAAGACAACTGCCAACTTATTATTAATAATCTTCTTGGGAGTGGAAGTTACAAGCAGTTGGTGCCAGGCAGCCCAGCAGCCACCAGCCCCTGCTAGGATTTCTTCTGCACTAACAAACCCAGATTTTTCAGGTGTGTTTTTATAACAACATTCTTGTTTTACTTTCTCACCAAAATAAAAGGTAAGTTTTTCCTTCCACCTTTAAAAAAAAAAAATCTCATCAAATTTGCCTTTCTCAAAACACTGAACATTCCCTTTCTCATCTACCTAAACCTGATGTTGAGTTACTGTCCCCCAGAGGCTTTCAGTAGCTCAGTTCTGATGTATCCCTGCACTTTGTAGCTCACTGCCTTCTTAGAGTGTAATCAAACATCAAGCTAAGTAGCAAATAAATCTCCCGATCTCATAAGCTGCACAGCAAGATCATGTAAATGCAAATGAAGGGCTTGATTTCAAGCTGTCGCGGGGGGAAGGAGGGAAAAATGCTGGGCCTTGTCACTGCAATCACTTCACTCTGCAAGTGCAGTAAATCTGCAATAATAATAGTAATGGCAGCGTGACGGGAGGCTTTACTGTACAAGGGGGTGTAATGAACAGGGGAACAGAAGGTAGGAAGGAGGCAGGGCCTGGCAGGATGAAAATGCACCAGCACAGAGTTTGCAGGTGTCCACAGGGCACAGACAGAGAGGAGGGGATGGGGCAGCCCCGGCTGAGTGGGAGCACAGAGGATTCAGGGATTTGCCCAGCATCCCCTCCCAGGGAAAGGCTGTGGAGGCAGGGATTAAAAATCCACATCTCGGTCTCTTTCTGTACCTCTCTGTGTGGACACGTCTCCCAGCTCTCTCAGTCATCTTTAGAAAATTGATGCAATGTGTGCTGCTGGGCCATGAACACCAGGGGACAGAACACAAATAAGTCTTGCAACACAACCTAGAATTCTCTAAAAATTCTGCACTTCCTTAAACCTTTGCAATGCCTCCATGCCTGGAAACAGTCCCATTTCAGAGCCTTCCTCTCCCTCCAAACATTTTCCAGCACTCAAATACAAATCCAGGGCTCAAGCCCAGGGCTGCAGAGATCAGAAACTGCCTGGCAAAGGCTCAGGATAACTCAGTACATCCAACAGCACTCACTTTTCAGCCAACCAAGGTATCCCCAGTGATCAAACACCCCCAGCACTGCACCATGGCCAGTGGGAGCAGGGCACCCTCCAAACCCAGCCCAGACACACCTGCTTCCACCAGGGAAATCACCATGTCCAAGGGGAAAGGGTGCACCAGCCAAGCCCTTAAGGACAGTTTGAGAGAGCAAACAAAGCCTCAGAGCTCATCTCTCGTAGCCCTGAGAGGTGCTGATCTCTGCTGGGTGCTCTGGGAATGCTTCAGGATAAGGTCTAGAGCTGTCTTTTCCAAACTGGCTGGATAAACAGCATTTAGGATGCTGGATTTTCCTCACCGAGGTCGTAAAGGGAGAAAACTTGCAGAAGGTACCCAGAGAAAATTAGGACCGCCTGGGATGCAGAGAGAGACGGTTTTAATTAGAGCCAAGAGGTGGGAAATAAGGCAGAGAAATGACATCTTAATGAGGTTTAATGAAGTTGTCTGCTGATGGGCACAGCTGTCAGACAGATCTGTATTCCAGCCAAGCAGCTTTGTGACAGGCTAAACCTGAACACAGGCAACGGTGCTGGAACTGGGGGAGAAAGAAAAAAAAAAATACCTTCTGCATCAACTTTGGCTCAGTTTCCCCACTGCTTTATGACAGAGCACACCTATAATGCCTCAGGAAAAACAAATGAAACCAGCCCATGAGCTGGAAACAGCATTTTGCTAATTTATGAATGAGAAAGGCTGTAATTGTGGATTACATCGAGCAGGATTCATTCCTGCTACATCCTTCCCCTTCTTTGCTTTTGTAGGTAAAAAATGTTGGCAGGCAACCAGAATCCTCTGAGTTCGTTGATTTTTCTTCAGGCACAGATTCTCTCTATGTTCAACATATTGGACCAGATTTTTTTTTTTTTTAATTAATTATCCAGCACCTTCAGCTTTATTTATTCAGTGCAAAGTGACTGTAAAATGCCACCTGATCATAAAAGGAAACAGCATGCACTCATTTTGTGATGGAGTAAACACCCAACTGTGTTAGCTTCAGGTGCTCTGCAGAAGGGACTCTTTAAATCCTGTAATTTCAGAGTTCTGCACTCGAGGGTCTGGAAGCAGCTTTGCCACAGGTTACAAACCTCTCTCCTGCCCCGCAGTTTCTCAGTGATTTTTCTCCCATCTCACACACCTTTGCCACCACAGCAGATTTCTGATCCCACTTCCCTGATCCATTACCAGAAGGTGATCCCAGGAAAATGCCTTTTCTCAAGCATCTGAGGAACATTACACCATTTCCTTGCACACCAGTGCCAACCCACCTAAAAATAGCTGTAAATACAGGAGGAGCAGATCAGCAATGAAAGCTCCTTTATCGTGGCTGGCAGCACTTTGCACGAGCTCCTGGCACACACAGAGTGCACACAGGGTTTGTCACTGCCACCACAGCCCTGGTGGCACTAAAACCCCACTCAGTCCCCCCAAGCTTGGGGCTGGACAGGGGACAGTCCCTCTCTGTGCTCGAGGCTCACAGGGGCCAGGTGGGGAAATGCAGCAGTGCTGGCATCACATCCCTGGGTCGATGGCTTTTATAAAGGTCTGTTTGCACAAAGGAGCTGCAGTTTCACACAGGGCAGGTCCCTAAAACTCATTTTCTGGGGAATTTGTGCTCCTGAGAGCAGTGGGAATGCCACACCTCCTTTAGAGTGTGAAGTGTAGGAGTTGGAGGAATTATAAGCACATTTTAGAGACCTCAATACAGAGCCCTCTGGAAGGGTTTCTGTTCTGGGCAGGGGTTATGAACCCTCACTCTCCAGCCAAAACTGGCTCAGTGAGAGCTCTGCCTGAGCTGAGGGTGATGCAGAAGAGCACATTGGAAAGCAGCCACCATGCTGGCAGTGTACAGGGGAGCCACGGCTGCTCTGAGCCCCTGGCCAGGGTCTGCATGTGCTGACTGGGAGTTAAAGGAAAATTTTGGTGTGGATGATGCTCCTACACAAGCAGCTGCAGTGAGCTGGGTCCCTTATCAGCCTGCACAGCCTGACCTGCCATGGTGGCAAGCTGGAGGTGGCTCCTTTGCTGCTTCTGTGTCTCTGCAGAAAGGGCTGTGTTTGACTGAGCAGCTCCTGACCCAGAGTGTTCCCTCTGCAGTGTGACAATGGCCATCTCAGTGTCAGTGCTCAGCCATGAGAAGCACCAGAGTGCTATTTCAGCACTTCCATTCTCCCAGCAAGACCTGCCAACACCTACAACACCCCAGCTCTCCTAACACCCTTCCCATGGAAAATAACCTGTCCCAAAGCAGCCACATCCTGCCCTCAGGGCTCCTGGGGACTCTGCTCCAGCTTTCCCTGTGCCAGGCTCTCTCCCCTTCCCTCCCTTTGAAGCAGCAATGAGGTTTCAAGACACATCCTGCAGTGACTTCACCATGGAGATGGGAGGGGGGAGACAAAAGGGTGAGGGGAGGTCAGTTAATCCCACAGACACCACCAGGCTGGGACACACATGAGCTGGGGAAGAGTTCATTTGAAAACTAAATGGAAATTATGTTATTGAGCTGAAGTTGTTTTCTGTGCTATAAAGCCCAGGCTCTGCTCTCCCTTCTTCGTCTCCCTTCTCCTGCAGCATGCCTTGTGCCTTGATTATTCCCAGGCAGGAGCAGCCATGTGATTGTGCCTGGGGAAGTTTATGTCAGTTTTTTTTTGGGAGGATGCACAACTTGGAAATGAAATAACTCAGTGTAAAGTTAAGACTAGCTGCTGTCTCCCCAGCAGACACCACAGCTGGGCATCCCCACCAAAGGAGAGATTAACCAAACAAGACTTCAAGTCCATATCTCTAGAGTCAGGATCCCTATTTCCAGCAAGGCTAGGTCTCTTTATAACTCAAAACCCAACTTGTGTGAAATTCAGCATTCTTTAGGCTTCAGCTCCTTTTTGCACTGTGACACTCACTTGTGCAGTGGGATTCAAGCTCTTGCCAAATGGACACTCCTGGTACTTGTGGCTGTGTTCTATTATGAACTTCTGTTTTCAGGGTCTTTACCTTATCAGAAAGGATCTCTATGTTTCTCTATTAATGCTCTATGTGCTTCTCTATTCCTTTTTCTGCAGCCAGAACTTGGAAAGCCCATGAGAAACTGCTACTCCCTGCCAGGCCCTGATTTTACCTATGGGATATACATGCACAAGAGAGATGGAGGAGTCCCTGAAGGTAGGACACTGCCCCTAAAACACAGACCTGCAACAAAGTCCTAATGCTAGTAGGAAGTCTCCTCTCCTTCCCATAGTTCTTCAATAGTTCTCAGCAAGCTAGAAGTGCAGAACTCCAACATTTACCCACTTTCATTAATATCACCCCAATTTCTTGGTGACCAGTGAAGTTTCTCCGTCACACTGGAAACTTTCAGAGGCTCACACAGAGCCCAAGCAGGGAGGATGCACCTGCAAAAGGTGACGCACCTGGGCACTGTCATAACTTGGTCAGGGCTCCTGCTTTGTGCTCTCAGGGACAATTTCCCTGTAAATCCTGAGCAAGCCAGGGTGGAGGGTGAGAAGACATCCAGTTCAGATGGGTTATGGGATGCAGTGGGATGGGGTATGAAGGTCACAAAAGGAACCTTAGCCCCACAAGACCCCCATGCATGGTGCACACACATCAATCTGCTGTCCCAAAAGGAGCTAACCAAGATGCCTCTTTTTCTCTGTTTCCTTCCACCTCCACTGGGACTCCATGAAGGCCAAGGGTCAGCCCCATAAAAGGGTCATGCCCTGAGACTTCATGGCCATGAACCTTAGCCCCACAAGATCCTCATGCATGGTGCACGCACATCAATCTGCTTTCCCAAAAAGAGCTGAGATTCCCTTTCTCCTCTTTGTCTCTGTTTCCTTCCACCTGCAGCCATAGGCCACTGGGACTCGGTGAAGGTCAAGTCTCAGCCCCACAAAAGGCCCATGCCCTGGGACTTTGTGGCTGTCCTGGGTTGATTGGGTTCTCTCCCAAATTTACCCTAAACCAAGACAGTGGCCATGAACCTTATACCTACAAGACCCCCATGCACGGTGCACACACATCAATCTGCTGTCCCAAAAGGAGCTAACAAATATGCCTCCTTTTCCTCTCTATTTTCTTCCACCTCCAGCCATAGGCCACTGGGACTCAGTGAAGGCCAAGTCTCAGCTCCATAAAAGGGTCATGCCCCGGGACTTCATGGCCATGAACCTTAGCCCCACAAGACCCCATTCTCGGTGCACGCACATCAATCTGCTGTCCCAAAAAGAGCTAACTGGGATTCTCTTTCTCCTCTTTGTCTCTGTTTCCTTCCACCTGCAGCCATAGGCCACTGGGACTCGGTGAAGGTCAAGTCTCAGCCCCACAAAAGGGTCATGCCCCGGGATTTCGTGGCCATGGGCCGTGCGGCCGTGGACGAGGGCTGCACCACAGCCCGGGAGTTTGCTCTGTACTACAAGCACATGGACATCCGCTGCAAGGACAAGGGCATCCTCACATATGGGGGCAAGGCACCTCCAGGCATGACCTTTGGCAAGCCACCACGGTAAGGGGGAAAGTTTGGGCCCTCCTCAGCATGAAATTATCCCTTCCTACCCTCACACCTATGTCCCTCCTCAACCTCAGCTACCACAGGCCTCAAAACAGAAGTGTCCTGAACCTGGATATGCTGAGTGACAGCATCACATCCGTGTATGATGGCACTCCTGTCAGATAATCAACTGCCTGAATTTAACATACATGCCACAGCACAGCCTCATTTCACCTGCAGTGGTATTGTATTTCCAAGGTGCACCACGGCAGGAAGGAATGATGAGTCTGACTCCATGTTCTCAGAAGGCTGATTTATTATTTTATGATACTATATTATATAAAAGAATACTAAACAATACAGAAAGGATACTTACATAAGGCTAAAAAGATACTAATGAAACTCGTGACTCCTTCCAGAGTCCTGACACAGCTTGGCCCCAATTGGCCATTGAGTCAAAACAACTCACAGCAGAAACCAATGAAACAATCACCTGTGGGTAAACAATCTCCAAACACATTCCAAAGGAGCAAAACACAGGAGAAGCAAATCAGATAATTATAGTTTTCTTTTTTCTCTGAGGCTTCTCAGCTTCCCAGGAGAAAAATCCTGTGTGAAGGGATTTTTCAGAGAATCTGAATGCCACATAGTATTATGGGCTTGAAGCCTCTTAAAAATATCTTCAATGCCAACCCTTTAATCTAAAGGAATACAAAGAGCTGTAAGCCAGAAAATTGGCATCCCAGGGTCAGAAAATCAGAGCAACAGCATTTCTGCCTGTCTGCACTGGTAGAAATACTCTGGTGGAGTTAAAGATCAGTTCAAAGTTCTTTATCCTACTCTCTCCCACTTACTTCACTGCTCTGCATTGGGCAGAAATTGGGAATAGAGCAGGATAAAGGCAAAGAATCTTCTCCCTGCCAGTGCAACTCCAGCACAAACCAGTGCTCAAAACCTCTGAAAGTCCTGCTACTGCTGGAGCCCAGGGGGGTTCTTGCTCTGTGCAGGACCGGGTCAGACATTAGGTTTTATTTTAAGAGCTAGATAATAATCACTACCAGAAAAATAACAGCTACAAATTCTAGAGAAAAGACATGATGAACGGCACCGTGTATTTTACATGATAGTAAATGGGCTTTGCATATGCAAATTGAATGGATTTTAAAATGGTATTTAATGACAATTTTCGTAGCAGACATTAACATTAATTGCATCAAAATGAAAATGTAGCATTAGCTTGCTGTTAGCTGCAAATGCCCCAGCCATAAAGCTTTATCTTTATCAGTATCAGCCCTCATCCATTGACAGGGCTGCTCTGCAAATTGCAGGCAAAAGGGCTTTTATGTTGCAAAAGTATCCCCCAATGCAGGCCAAAATCAACATCAATTTTGCTTTATTTCTTCATAAACGGAGGTTAAATGGCTGCCTATAAGAAGCCCAGGCATGCTTAAAAAGTTTTAAGGAAAATCTGCAGACCCCACAATGGCAGAAGTAGTGAGAAAGGGCTTTTAATTGAAAGTTATTATTGTACAACTTGCCTTCTCCTTAATAGCTACCTTTTATGCAGACTGATTGTATTTATCCCTTTACTTTAAAAGCACGTTATAGATAAAAGCAAATTACTGGGATTATCAAGGAGTTGTTACAGCCATTTTGGTAAAAGTGGGAGTTTAACACACTTTTCCATGCCTGGCAAGTTAGAGAGACCAGCTTTGGTGAGCATTCCCAAGACAAGCTGGTCCCTGGTCACAGCAATACCCATCTTCCTAAAAATGACCTGGCTGTCACTGAATTTCAGTTGGGTTTGGACTCCAAGCCCTGTCTGACTGATCTCACCTGGGAAGGTGCTCCAAGTGAGGCACGTGCTTGTCTGGGGGCAGAAAAAAAGAGTGGCAAAAGGTCATTTTTCACAACTCCAGCACTATATGTCTTTAAGAAATAATAGATCTGATCAACATCTCAGGTGCAGTGAATTTTCCAGCAAGAACAGCACCTGCCTGTCACCCCCAGCACTGCCAGCACTCCTCACTGTGGCTGAGGAGGCCAGAGAGCAAAGGTGCTTTCCCATGGCACTGGAAGCAGCTGAGACACCCTGCCTGATGATGTGGTGCTCTGGGACAGCCCAGAACCCAGTGCAGACCCTGCCCAGCCTGCAGCTCTCTGCTCAGTGGGAACTGCAGCTGCTGCCAGCCCACAGCCTGCTTCCCTGGGAACCCAAATAACTCAAATAACCCAAATAACTGTCACAGGAACGTGGCTGGGGTCGCTGGGTAGTGGGCAAGAGGCTTCTTGAGCCCTGGCAACTCATCTCCAGCCCCTCCTCAGGCTGTGCTGCTGAAGGCTTCTGTCTCCTGGAGACACCAGGGTCAGGAGCTCTCCCTAGGCTCACAGGTTGGGGCTCTCCTGGATCATCCCAAATAGAAGCAAGCACCAAAGCTGTGGTTGCTATTAGTGCCTTGTTAATCTGCCCGGCCCTGCTGCTGCTCTAACCCAGATCACTTGTGCCTCTGCTTTCTGCTCACGGTGTGTGCAGCATTCCACCAGGCAGCCTCAGACACTGCAGCAAGCTCTCTGAAGCTTTGAGGCCTCTTTCCTTTCTTTTCCTGGGATATTTACCTTCAAAGGTCACCCATACCCCTCTATATTCCCCCTGGGCACCTTCCAGGGGAGAGAAGCAGAGTTGCTTTTTGCTGATTCCCCCCCCATTCTCTCCCTCCCTTTTCCCAGAGTAATGTTTGCTACGAATCACGTGGCCAGCTTTGTTGTGAGAGTCATAAAAAGGACATTTTTCATCTCTCCTTTTTCCTGCTCTCGTTCCCTTCTCTCTCTCAGTAGCAGACAGAGATTTATTCCTTCCCTGATGCCTGTGGCATTTGGAGCTGGGAGGGGTCAGGGGAGGCACTGGTGGAACATAACAGATAATGCAGTGGTTCCCCGGGGGCTTGTCCAGCTCCAGAGCCGATCCATCAGCAGGCAGTGCTCGTGCCAAGGTCAGCAGTAACGAGGATGGGGTGGGCTCCCAGCCTCCCCCGTGGGGCAACCTCCAGCCAGGCTCCCCCAGCTCATGCTCCAGCTCCTGAGCTCTCCAGGAGCTGCCTTGTGAACCACCCTTGGCAGGAGAGGAACGCCGAGTGCAGGGCTGGGCTCACAGCACACAGGCTCAGCTTCACCTCTCCCAGCCCTCCTCCCCACCACACACAGCTCCACAGGCTCATCTTCCAAGGAAAATTCCCATCTGTGACAGTCTCCTCCAGGAGCTAAACCCCATCCACGTGCTCTGTGCACAACACATTACAGAGCTGCTGAGGGCTGCTGTCCTCCCAGGTCTTTTCATTCAGAATAACCCTAGAGGTGTGTCCAGCCCCATACTCTGCAATAATGGCCTTGTTTTATTTACAAGGAGGAGGCTGCAGGGCACTGAGTGGGCTGGGGTTTGATGATCTGGAGACCCAAAGGCACAGAGGGTCTGTGAAGATCCAGGATCTTCACTGGTGTCACTCCAGCCTGCTGTTCAAGGTGCATTTGGAAACCTCAATAGATGATTTATCCTCCTGACCACCTTTTCTGGCTCAGCTTCACTGTGCACTGAAATCAGACAACATTAAAGGACCATTTTTGGAGTGAGAAGTAAGCACAAAGACGTGGATGCTGTCTACAGCTGGATTTTAGATGCTATTGATCTGTGCAAGGTCACACAAGGAGTTTGAAGGCAGAACACTCCAGCACCAGCTCTGTCCCCAGGAGCGAGCAGGGCAGAGCGCACCCTCACCATGGACACACTGCCCAGCCCTGCCAGGAGAGAAAACCTTCCAGTCACCTCTTGGTGAGCGTCCTAAATCTGCCTGCTACGCCCCAGAACCTGTTCCTGGGCAGGAGGAGTGCACAGACGTGCCATCCTGTGCCATGCTGCACCTGTACCTGCTCCAAACCCTGCATGGCCACAGCCCTGCCTCCCACGGGCTGCCATGCACTTGGCAGTTGGCCTGGAGGTTGGGCTGACCTTGGGTGTGCTGGCAGGATTTCCCTGGCACTCTGTCATCCCCAGGGCTCCTGCTGGGCCCTCCCTACTGTCTGCCTTCGCTTCAACTGTCCCTTTCCTGAATTTTACAGCCCATTTTCCTTCTGTCTTCATCTCCTGCCTCCATTCCACCTCCCATTCTCTAAAACTGCTCCTAATCCTTTGGCAGCTGTTTTCATCGTGCCCCTGCAGCAAACTCACCTCTCCAAAGCGTTTGGCCACTGCAATCTCTCTTCTTCAAATTGTTACACTCGGCCAAGGGCATCAGTTACCCAGTACCTCCTCTTTAATTGGTATCATTTGCAACCATCCCAATCTTTCACCTTCCCTGAGAAGGGAGATTTCTATGCTCATGCTCTGCTTAGCAAGTGGCCTTTCCACCCTAAGTGTCTGTGCTGTTTGCACACAGCCTGAACAAAGTTTAGAAAGCTGCTCAAGAGGTGCTGAGGAATTTCCACGGATAGATTTATTTTTGAGATACTTAAAGAACATTTCAGGTTGCTAATATTTGGCTGTGGAAAGAAAGCTAATCTAGATGTAGACCAGCTGCAAAGATGTCAAGGAAATAATGCATTACTGGAAAGAACCCACCAGGAAAAGCTGGACAGGCAATAAAATTGAGCATTGCAGCAAGAGTGCATCTGACCCATGATCACTGGAAGCCAAAGAGAGTGTAAAGCCACCAAAATCCTAAAGATTAGGGCAAAAAAAGTTTTACAGAAAAAAAAAAACAACCCCAACCTGAGGACTGACAAACCAGATTGTAAAAATATAACACAGTGAGTGGAATCACTGTCAGGCTCATGGAGACAGAGAAACGCAAGCAAGTTAAAAAACACAGGACTCCCACCAGCTCAGGTAATTACACATCCCATCCAATTCCACAGCGAAAGGCACTTGGTGCCTCTGCCATCATTCTCACACTGCTAAGACAAGAATTTCTATTTCAAGAGTAGTTTCCTTCTCCTGGAAATGTTCCAGGCTGGGTGTGTGGTTG